CATTTTCACATACGTAAGATTCGATTAGGTGTAATGAAACTATGAAAGAAGCCTCATTTCGATTATTATTCAATTGCACGAGTACTCAAGACAATTACGATGACAAAATTCAATCCAATTGTATAGATTTCAATCAACAAAAAAATTGTGCCTGAACGTTATGTCGACTAGTATACAGCTTTGGAAAATCAATAAGAAATGCGCGACACAATTTATCCACAATCGTGATCATAGGATTAGTTAAACGCCGTGACTCAGCCTGTAAGATGAAAAGCTTATAACATTTTGGTCTCGATTTTGTCCTACACAAGTAAACTTACATAGTGAATAATCAGAACAAGTAAAAGTAGATGTGAATAGTATTCAGGTTTAAGAATATTCTCGAAGATTGCGTAGCCAAATAGCAAAACAAGTCGAATCTCGCTGCCCTTGTACTTGGTATACTTATCCAGTGAACGCGGATGGCGTGTAGTTGTAGATGGAAAGCGAACTCGACTCAATAGAACTGATAATTCGTTTCTTTGTACCCATATCGACCAACACTCGTCCTTGTATTCATGACTGAGCCAAAGTGAAAGGATTCGTTTCTAGGGTAAATAGCTTCGTTCATATATATGGAAATAGACACACCTACAATATACTTACAAACAAACCCAATTAGACGTTATGCAAACTATCCACCAGAAAAGAAGAACCAACGTCGAAATTGGACAATGATCGTAGTATGCACGACCCTTTGACACCTTTTTCTGATTGTTTATGTTTATCTATTAGATCACGCCTGGCACGGTAAGTACTGGCAGTCAGCTCAATTTCATTTTTGTGCACCTGCTGAATAAGTATATCGTGTCTTTCATTTGTGCGTTCATTTGTAGGCGGATCTGTTTCATAAATGGCAAAACTCACAACTGATCCACAGTTTTTTGTTGGTACACTGACATCTGAAAAGTTATTGAATTGGTGAGAAATACAAGTGTTTCTTTTAATTGCTGATCGAAAGTAGTTATTAATATTTTCTATTATCTCATGTTTAGTACTCTTAATCTCAATGATTACAGATGATTCATGATACAGGTCAGTGATTTTGTTTCTCGAATAGCTACATAACTCAGAGTTCAGTGACAGATGCGTCACCTGTAACATTTATTTTAGCACTCTGCGTTGAATTAGGTCTTAACGTAACGGGTGTCCCAGGTTAAATGAGTCTCTACGTATTTTTTCAATATCTTGCTCAAATTATGACGTATATAGTGGAACTTTTTTAAAAAATATAGCCCATGAAATTCTCTACAAAACTGTATGTATAGATCTGTTGAGTGATTAGTTGCAGAACTATATCTGGTCAACATTTCAATGCTGCAAAATAGTGCATTTTTGTAGGCGTC